CAGCCCCCGGCTGTGGCTGCGGTGGGGACAGCCCTGTCGGGGGTGGGGCCTGTGCTCCCCCACACCCTCCCTACCACTCACCTATGATATCAGCTCCTCAAAGCTGAAGTTCAAAGGAGGATTCAGGACATCAAAAAACAATGGTGGCAAGATAAAGCCAGGGAGAGACAGCTCTATGCTGACAAATATGACATACCTAGTTTCTATCAGGTAGCAAAAGGGAGGTTGGATCAGTGGTCCAACCTCCTGTGCTCCTACTTTCTTACAATCGGAGGATAGTTTGATGCTCCTTTAAGACAATGAACCTAGCCAAGCTAGGTGGAAAGAGCACTTTGAGGCACCTCTGAACCATGAGCCGACTGTTACAGATGCCACTATCGAGTCTGTCCCTCAGCACCCTGAAAGGAGGTCCCTTGCTAACCAAAGAAGCCAAGAATAACCAAGCTGCTAGACTGGATGGCATATGTGCAGAAATCTTCAAGACTGGCAGCAAGAAACCAGGACTGGGACTCCACAAATTTATTCTTCAAATTTGGAACAACAAGGATGTCCCTGGGGACCTGAGGAATGCCAGCTTATCTTCCTTATCTTTAAGAAAAGAGATAAGTCTGCATGCAGGAACTATTGAGGTATCGCCCTCCTTTGCACAGCAGGGAAAATCCTTGTCTGCATACTCCTGTACCATCTTCAACCTCTTGCTAAGGAAGTCCTGCCAAAATCTCAGTGTGGTTTCAGACCACCCTGCAGAGCAATTGACTTGATCTTTGTTGTCTGCCAGGTCCAAGAAAAGCGTCAGAAACATCATTAGGACCTGTATATGGCCTTCATTGACCTCATTAAGGCCTTTGACTCCCTCAGTTGCAAAGTGTTGTGGAATGTACTGGCCAGATTTAGAGGCCCTGAAAAATACATCAAGGTCCTGAGGCCTCTCCATGACCAGATGAGTATGACCATTCTTTGTAGCGGATCAGAGACAGATCCATTTGTCATCTGAGCCGGGGTCAAGGAAGGATGCCTCATCACCCCAATTCTGTTCTCCGTGTTTTTTTGACTCTCATCCTGGTTCTTATTAAGGACCACCTCCCTTTCAGAATCAATACTGAACATCGAACAGATGGAGGGCCCTTCAATTCGGGATGTTTTCTCCCGAAGACCAGAGCATTCTAAACAACCATTCTTGACCATGAATATGCTGACGGCTGGGCCATCCTTGCGCACACCTCCAGACTGGAATGGATGTCTTTGCAGAAGCCTATTTAACTTTGGGCCTCTCTGTCAACATTTTAAAAGACTAAAGTGCTCTCTCAGCCTGCTCCAGGCTATGAATGTGACCCCTGTCCTCAAATGACCATCGAGGGAAAGACCCTGGAGGTAGTTGAGCACTTCTTTACCACAGTAGCTACGTCTATCAGAGAGTGAATGTTGATTAGGCAATCCCAGCACAGGATCTGGTTTGCAAGTGCCTCCTTTGGGAAATTGCTTCTGCATATTGTTATTGATCATGATCTCTGGAAAGACACCAAGATCCAGATCTACAACATAATGCCCACTCTCTTCTATGGAGAAATGTGGGTGACCTACTGTTGTCATCTCAAGAGCCTGAGAGGGATCACCTATGATACCTCCAGGAAAATCCTGTGCATCAAATAGGAAGATTGCCACAGAAGTGCCAGAATCCTTACTAAGACCAGCATTACCAGTATTGAGTTGGTGATCTGCCGGCACCAACTTTGCTGGACTGGACATTGTGTGCAGATGCTCAGCTCTCTACTTCCAGAACAAGTGCTCTACTCCCACCTTAGTTGTGGCCTGAGATCTCATGATACCCAAATTAAATGCTCCAAGGCCACATTGAAGGCACACCTCAAGAAAAAGGATGCCAACATCAAGAGCTGGGAGGGGCTGGCTGCTGACCACCAATGGCGCCGCAACATTAACCAAGTGGCAGCGTGGTTTAAGGTAAAGCATCTTGCCCTTGAAGCAGAGAAGAGGGAGTGGAGGAAGGAAAAGCAGAGAAATCCCAGGCTGCAGCCTATTCTTCCCTGTGGAAGGACCTTGCAATCTCTCTGGATGGATCCTGGCTCAAGGATTGGACTTTTAAGTCATTTCAAGGCCCATCAATGAGCCATGGTAGAGATCATGCTCAAATTGTGGGATTGCTACCATTTAAAACAGAGAGAGAGGTGACTTTGAGTGATGTGAGCAGACAGTGAGGTGCCTGGATACTCCAAGACTGGCTGAGGTTCATAATCCTGCTCATTACAAACCGAAAGCTTCCAAGAACTGCAGGACATGGAGCTTTAGAAATGCTCCAGGGATTTCCCAGAGCCAAGGATCTGCACAAACTTCCCAGTTCAAATAAAAATGTCTTGTTAAATCACTTTCCTCAGGAGGCACATTTAAACAACCTGGGAGCTGCCCATAGCTTGGCAGCCAGGATTTAAACCCTGATATATTTTTTCCCCTGGTCTGGCACTGACTCGCTGTGTGGCCTCTTGCAACGTCTTGTGGAACAGATTTTTTTAAGGTATTTTTGTCCTTAAGTTGAAGTTTGAAAATCTCATCAGATGCCTAGTTATGTCTGTAAGTAACTAAATACCTTTAAAAAAACCGGAGGCTTAGCCTCTCTGCTTTCTTATTGCCATCTGCCAACGGGTGCAGTGACACTTACCTGGCTCACGAGAGCATTGTAGTTGGGTTATGTTAAAATATTACCTAAGTGGTGTTATTTGTTAGTATTTGGGCAGTTCTACCGGCTTGAAACGTCTGTCAGTTCTTACAGCCCAGATACAGCAATAGGCCCTGACTGCTTGTTAAAGTCAGCAGGACCTTCCCCATTGCTTTTTAATGAGCATGAGATCAAGCCCTCAGTCTCTATCTCATTGTAAACCATGGAAAATGTCTTTATAACTTAAACTTAATGTCAAACAGGCACTTTGGTTTTGATCTTTCCTTAAGAGGCTGCCTCATGTTCTGTGTCTTGCCACGATGTTAATTTTCCAATGAATTGGCTTACCAGCCTTACTCAGTTTTTGAGGTTGATAGAGGGGTATTCTCAGCTGAAAGCACTACTTTCCACCCTTTGTGCGTGTTCTGCTGGCTTCGTGTCCGAACCTGTTGAGTTTGACCAGTTTCTTTTTACACGACTCTGTTTTTAGTTCCAACAGTTAGTTGACCCTTATGGGGCCTGCTATTCAATTTGTATTAGTTTGACTCAGCACCTGGAACAGAATATGCCCATGGGACTTGCTTCTATCTGGACCTACAAAACACCCAGGCTCACTTTAAAAATCAAGTTCTGGTTTTGCTCGTGTCTGTTTGAGTTACTCTGGTTGGGAGGAGTTCACAGAACAGGTGAATTATGATGACAGTAACTTTTATAGCTCATTTAAAGTTCTGGATATGTTTGCTAATGTATTGCACAGCTTCCTGTGACTTGGT